CATGTCTACCACGCGAATCGGCCAGGACTCGTTCCCATACGACACTGAGCGAACAGATCCACTGTAAACGCGGCCCTTTAGCGAGAATGAGACGTCGTGACGGTGTCACAAGTGCCTCAGATTGACAAATGCTGATCGAGCTTTAGCGATGCGAAGAGAAACTTCTTCGCTGATAGTGTCGTCAGCAGAAACACAGCTCCCAAGGTAGACGAAACTATCTACCTGTTCAAGTTGTGCACCTTCGAGAATGAGCACGGGAACAGATGAAAGCCAATCTTTGAGCAGTACTCTATACTTCGATGGGGCGAAGCTCATGCCATACTTAGATGCTTCAACCGCAAAACCATCCAGAATGAGTTGCATACCCTGAGGATCGTCACCAAGTAAGGCGATATCATCAGCAGAATCTAAGTTGGTCGCGCGCTCACCCGGTAGAAGCTCTAGGCCAAATGTTGGAAACCTAGGGCATTCGACAGAACGTCTTCGATTGCGAAGTTGAAGAGGAATGGGGACATAGGACAGCCCTGTCACACACCGCTATTGACAGGGAATTGCGAGGAAAGCTTGCCATAGACCCTCACTCTGCCGCATGTATGAAGGTAAAGTGCTCGTAAGATGGCGGCATGTTTCTCTGGCACCCCGTTCTTGAGCAAGCAACGCCATAAAGCAGATAGATCAACGGAGTAAAAAGCGGCATCTATGTATCTATGGAATGCAACCATAGTGAGCCTGTGATAAATGTGGCGATATTCGAGCCGGAGGAGCGTGAGGATTTGATCCACGCATCCGCGGCCGGGACGGAAACCAGCTTGTTCTTCACGGTAGTATGATTCACGTATTGGGGATAGTCTACGGAGCAGAATTGATGCCAATCGTTTGGAGGCAACCGAAATAAGACTAATCCCGCGATGATTTGCAAATGAAGTGCGAGCGTCTTTCTTGAAAATCGAGACAATAACTGATCCGCCCCAAGAGTAAGGCACTTTCTCTTCATGCCAGCTTTTTGCGAACAGCGAGGTCAGCTGGTTAATGATTGCCACACCGCAGTAGTTGAACAGCTCAGGAAGAAATTCGTCTGAGCCAGCAGCCTTGAACCACTTCAAGCGTCGAATCTCGAGGGAGACTTCCGCTTCGCTGAGTGGATTCAGTGGAATGAGCCAGGGTGGACAACAAGGTGTACTGCATGTACTGATGGATGGTGGAGGCCAGTTGAACTGCGAGTAAAAGTGCTTGGTCCAGCGGTCCACACGCGTCTGTTGCTTGGTGATCGGAGACACATCCACGTCGCAAATGACCTCACTGACACCGGGCTTCATGAAGACAGTGGACTGAATGAGTTGGAAAAGCTTGCGAGCGTTGCCAGAGAGGGCAGCGGTCTCCATCTCTAAAGCACGCTCTGACCACGATGCCTCGCTATCCTTGTGTAGGCTTTGCGTGAGTAAACTGTTGGCAGAACGGCGCTGTTCGTTGCAATCTGATTTCACCGGGATATCTTTGCGGCGTGCGAACAGCTCCAGAGAACGAGCAGAAATCCAAACCTATGGGGGGCGTCGAGCTAGGCCACAGCTGCGCTGTCCAGAAATGGGTCATCGTTTTCCGTATACAAGTCCAGTGTTGCTCCACGTCTTGTAGTGGATTGCAACTGAGTGCATAGGGCACTGAAAAATGATAGTTCTCCTGGACAGAGGAATCAGTTAATCTGTTTACATCAATCTTACGTTGCTTCGTATTTCGGAACCCCCAAAACATATCGAGATTTTCGCGCAGACCAGTGCATGATCTGAGTCAACGAAGGTGGACCAAAAAGACCTGCAGTCTAGTACGCTGCCACGCCATCTAAAACGAATTGCAATGTGATCAATTTGAGACCACGGTTGTGTTGAAGAAGGGGGACGCCGCGTTGAGGAACGCTTCTTCGTACGCCTGAAGTTAGTGCTCTAGAGAAACAGATGGTGGTCTTCTTACATTGTGAGAAGCCTCTATCCGTTATCAGAAAGGTTCTCATCGAGCGCATGATGACCACCAAGGTGGCGTTCGTATGGTAACAGGCGGCCAAACCGTGTATTAAAATCCCCAGCAAGGACAACGACATCCGATTTTTTGCATTAGTCTAGAGCTGCTGTAGATCCAGGTAGAATTTGTCCTTGACAGAGTCGCCACTGCAGTCAGTTGGAGCGTACACGGAGATCACAAACAAGCGTCTCTCTTCGCGGTGCTTGTTGATTCTACATGAACCCCGGGGTCAAACTGCACATAGTCGGCTGTTAATCGGGAATCAGTCCAGTAGGGCTGCCTCGGCCTTGCCACTTAGTACTATACCTACACCAGCCAAACCCGCTGAGGCCGCTTCTGAATCTCCAGAAAGACGCAGGTGATATCTGGTTTCGTGGTCACTGGAGGATGTCAATGTAAGCACAGTGCTGGGATCTTGCAACCGGGTTTCTGAAAGGCAGCAGGCATCAATGTCTATGGAATCTAGGGTGCGCGCTAGACCGACTTGTTGTCCAATCTGCATGAGTGTCCGAACGTTGAAGCACGCCAGACGGAACGAAGCTCAGGGACGAAGGAGAGTCATGAGTTGAACTCTGTGGTCCGCTGCGCAACCGGAATCGCAGCCAGATTGTTGCACACATGAATCGGGTAACGGAAAGTAAGGATTGTTTGCAAACAAACGATTGGCGTGTGATGTAGTCGCGTGAATGTGAGAAGCTGATGAGCACGTTGCAGTACAGTCCATGGTTTTGTGAGATGGCGTGATACTACCCGGTTGTCCAAGCCGAAGTAGGGTTCACTTAAGGGACTCCATCCTGAACGTTTGGCTAAATAACCTACCAGCAAGGCAGCGGGGCGAATTTATGGAATCGCGCCCATGGGAGACGTTGACTGAATGTTCAGTTCATGAGTCTCTGTTTGGTAGATCACCAAACAGGGGCCTAATACTCCCCAAGAAATCAGCATAATTGCTGGAATACAATGCCCCACCGAGGTGGAACATTTTCGCCGAGCACCTCGCTGGAACGGGATACACCAGAAGCACCCAGCTGGCACCACGGGGAAGTAGTTCGGCAAGCCAGCCACCAGAGGTGAAACAGCGACCAAGGACAGTGAAGCGATCTACTACTTCCAAAGGCTGGTTGGTATAGCTAAAAATACGACATGTCGGTCCCGTTTCTCAACAATGCCTTGCACTTTGAAGGCGCAAAGCACATGCTGAAATATGCAGCGCTAGGCACAAGTTTGATCAGCAGTGCTTGCATAGCCACTGCGCTCCACCCAAGGAAAAAAATGTCGTGCAAATACTCAAGGTTTGTTAATCCGTAACCGAAAAGAATCACCACTCCCGAGGAGTTTGAAAGAGCAGTAAACCACGATTATTTCGATACGAAGTTGAAGAGAATAGAAGATATAGGACAACCCTGGTGGATCCCAATTGTAATGAGAAACTCAGGTGATAGCTTCCTGTAGACCATTACCAATCCTCGAGATTCATGGTAGAAAGATTTCAGAATGAAAAAGAGTTTTCTAGGCACTTTCTTCATGGATAGGCAGTACCACATGCTGACTCGATAAACGGAGTCGAAGTCAGCTTTCAGGTTAACGAAAACTAACATAGTCAGCCGTCTGTAACTGTGTCTGCTCTAACAATTGAAGAGTGAATATGCGACCAGCGCAGTCATGATCGATGAAAGCCTGCTTGACTTTCAATGATCCGGCTTTCGCAAGGACCCACAGGTCGTCGAAAAACGAGATACATTGGAGATCACGGAAATAAAGTTACAGCTTCAATGATTTTCGCAGTCTATTGGCCATTTTTGAAGACAGACACGGCAGTTGGCAATCGCCAGTCTGAAGGCACCACTTCAATGTCATAAATTGTGTGGTATAGAGTGACAAATGCATTCAACGAAGATGGATGTGTGGTGGCTGTTTGGCTGTCTAGCTGTGATGAAGCTTCTCAAAAACACGATAAATACCCCTACTACTATTACCCATTGATAATCAGTAATCGCCTTAGCAGCCTACATGCCACCTCGATTGGTGGCGGCTTGCAGAGGAAGTTGTAATTCTGGAGGCCAGCCCTGTCCTCTGCAAGTTCCTAACCTGCATGACAGTGAAAAATGAGCCGCGCTATATCGCAGTTAGACATCAATCATTGCGGTCCGCCGCCGTCACCCATGGCGCAGTGGCATAAATCACTGGCTCGTAAAGTCATGGGTTCGAATTCGCCAGCATTCGGTGGGTACGCGCTACTGATGAATCTCGATAGGATGAAACAGCTGTCTAGCGCCTTCCTGAATGTATGGTGGCTGTCTGGTAGAGTCTAGCTTTGAGGAACCTTCTCAAAAACCCCACTACTCACAAATAAAGTGTTGCATCTATCCTCCAACACGGCGAGTACACATCGAATATCCTCCGAAGTGAGAGATTTGATATCAGGTTTCCACGTATGCTTATGTGTCTCGGTAAAATGTAGTGTCGAGACAGGCCTGCTGAACTGCTTTTCAAAATTCCACACCCAACGGGCTAGTCGACTCGGCTGATAATTCATCAGATGTCTATCTTATATGTTTTTTTTTGCAACTGAGGGCTTTCCAGGATTTGTGCTTCGGATGAGCTGTAACAGCCCTCGGCAGTGTTGGGGGCGAGAAACACCGAAAGCCTTCCATATTAGATACAGTGCCAGTGACCGGAATAACCGAAGCCCACCATTAGAACAAACTAGTTGCCAAATAGAGATTATGTCACAATCGAAAGCCTAGCCTTAAACATTCCAAATTACTGTTCAGAAGATTATTATCTGGGAACCATGAAAAAAGTGAGTTATCAACAATGAATGGATAGTGGTAAAGCAGGAAGATATTGTCAAGCCAGTGTTGCGTGACATGTACGGTTGAGATAAATATCGACTTTAAGATATATTGGCCTCGTAAGATCCTAAATTACTGTTCCAGCTAGGTGTGCTATTGATGACACACTGTACAACTCCTTTTTCTTTGCAGATGTTTGCATTAACACTTGAACGACAGAAGTCGAGGCGTTGTACAAGTCCTAGTCAAGTGGAGTTGAATGGTCCAGAAGTCCTCGACAGCAATAATGGCATCTCACCAAGTAGAAACTTTTGGGTGTGTCAAGTTGCATTGCAAGTTGCATTGACCATAAGCATCATAACCGCAGTTGTTATTCAAAACGCAACAATGGTACGAGGGAAAACTACGTTTTAGCTCCTTGTTTTGTGTCAGCTTCTTAAGCGAGAGCGAATGGGTGATTACAACCATTTTATACAGGACGACATTCAACCATTCATAAATGGTTACTTAGGCGAATGGAATGCGTCGAGCATCGGGATTTGGGTGCATTAAGGAACAAATAAATAATAAGCAGAGGGATTTTCGGTTGAAAGGAGGAGTCAGAGAGCCAAAGAAGATGGCTCATACAGAGAAACTACACGAAAGTGATTGGGCTGCCGTAATGACCAGTTTACTTGATGCTAAGGTGTTTTAAAATCCAGTTTACATTTCGCTTGTGAGCATGGTGTTATTTCGTTGATTGCACCCGACTAAAGAGTACAGTGACTTGTCTTCGGAATAGCACGTACTTTGGGACAAGTTAGCTCGGTAGATCAAATCAAAAAGAAGACTTAGGGTTAGTCACGTGTATGCGGCCACAGGACAGGTAAGGAAGTGAAATTGGATGACCAACCGGAGACCCATGACGTATACAAAATGTGTCTGAGAAATGAGGGCGAATGCAACAGGTCATAAGAAACCAATACAACAGACGGAAGAGAGTAGACGCAATGTTAAGGCGGTGGGGATCACAAGTTGAAGGTAATAACTGATGAAAAATCGGAAAACAAAGAGCACCTAAATAAACGTCAGTGAAGGTGTGGAAACGCAACAAGCAAACTTTGGTCCTAAAACACAAGATAAACCAAAAGCACGCCGATGCGGAGGTTTACAAGAGCAAGATAAAAACAGGACTCAGTAGGCGCTGGGTGTTGAGGCGAAAAAGTGTGATCGGTTATCAAACGATGTAACCAATGGCAACAGTGCTACATGACGTCAACAAACAAAATGCCACATACTAGGCCTGCTGAAAAATGAGGAAATGCGATAGGATAGTAACGGGAAGAGAACAGGTATGACAGATCCGATAGATAGGAAAGTATAAGAACAGAGAAAGCACCATGGTGATAAACAAATTCTTCGAATAACTGCCGCATTGTCAGCTAATCAGACCAGTGGTCGGATGCAGAGCAAGTGACCAACTCTCAAGTCCACATCAGAAATCCAGTCATGGTCAAGGTCATCCTGACGGTAGACGGAGCGAGTGGTGTGACCAAAAATGGGCAGTAACTCAACTACCGCTTCTGGAAGCCGTTTCATATACACGAAAGTCGAACTACCGCGTCCTTTCACTGATATCAAGCGCAAATCTCTTCCCCGGTAGCGGGCGTATAACCGACTCAAGGGCAGACCGTGACCACGTCCCGTCAAAGGAGAGGAAGTTACCTGGGCTGTGTCACCGTCTAAGAGCGTCTTTCGAGTTCCGTCATCTGATCCATGGTCTAGCGTACGTTACTGAGAAGAAGTGGTAGACACATCGGTGGCTGTGAAAAGGCGGGAAGCAGTAGAGGTGTACTTGGAATCTTCGTTAAAACATTTTGTGTCATTTCCCGACCCGTATCGGTCAGCTGAGTAGTAAGAAAAGGATGACATTGCAGTTAAGAGCCGACAATCAAGCAACTACCGATAAAAATGGGGTCTAAGTTACAGTACAATGAGCTAAGCTGAGTGTAACCGAGTGATTATTGGTGCAAATTTGAGGTACTCGTCTTGGGAACAGACTGCGACGTGCAATCTCAGTCTGGACCAGGGTTTCGCTATATCCAACTTTCCGGTGCAAACAAATAAGATATCGATCATGGAATTAAGCGTTGCGGGCAGGTAACACCGCACATTTAAGTGTTTTATTACTTAATACGAGGACGACTATTGGAGGACGAATATCATTTACGGTTTTACAACTGCCAAAAGCTATATCATATAGGCCATAGAAGTGTAACGCGCAGCGAAAGGCCGTAGCTTATGAGAGGGGGAGTAAGATAGCTGGCCAATGGTTCACTCCTTAGTTCCAAAAACTTGTCTTCACTTCAGTTTCTAGAAAATTAAGGTGCAGTTCAAAATGCATCGGATGGCACCCGAAAACACGATCAAGAATAGTCTTCTGTGCCAAAGCAAGTGTGTGATTTGGGCAGTCTGTGAGTTGGGAAGAACATCAAAGTAAAAGACAGCTAGGCGAACAAACATGTTTTCGGTGGTTCGCTTCAGGCTCTTACACCACAAAGTATAGAAATACAACGAGTAGAGGGCATATAAATGAGTTTAAAAAGCGCAAACTGTAACAAACTTTCCCAGGAGTTGAGACGAGGTTAGACAGTGGGTAATAACTCACAGCAGTTGATGGTTTGGAATAGGCTTCTTTAAGGAGTGCCGAACAAAAAATGGAAGAAATTCGGTAGCGGAACAGACACATTGGTCTGGAAAACCTATGTACTCGATTTTCCGTAATACTTATTTTTCAGCCACCGGTAAAATAATCCCTAAACAAAAGGACGATGGAAAAATGTCCGAACATGCCGCGCCGTACTGGTCGGAATTTTTTCGATGCTCCTGACTTTTCAAGTTTTGGGATTCAAACTTCTTTTCGCACATCGGCCTGGGTACACTCAATCAATCGGGCTCGATCAGGCCTTCTCATTGAGCAAACTTTCTCGAGAGTACTATTAATGGATCAATGTCTCTCGCCGGTTTCCAATTTTGGCTGTTTCAGCACAGTCGTTCGTTTACGATTGCAACACTTTTCTACCTTCATCAAGGTTCTTGGAGTTATCGGAGAGCTTATTGCGAGGTCTACTTCAAGAGACCTAAACCAACCTTATCGGTAGCTACATAAGGCGGCTAGAAGCAATTACATCTTACAATGACTTCGTTGACCAAGTGCTCTCACGCCGTATTGCGATTCGCGTTCTATCGAACGTACGCAACTCTCTTTGTCTGGTCGGAGTAATGCGTGTACGCTCATTGGAACTTGCGGCGTAATGTGACGCGGCACGCTACGGAGTTGACCTCAGGGCTACCTGTGCACAGAGCGGTCGATTACCGAAGTGCAATTGAGTGCTCTTACATCCGGTTCGTTTGTATCGATCATTGCATCTGCAACATTGACCTTTTTGTACCCGTGTACTTCTCGTGCACTTTCGATAGGTCGTATAAACCCTAAAATCCTAGTCTATATCCTCGGCGGTCTACCGATAACATTGTCTCGATCACTGTAACTGAACTGAACTGAAGTTTGTTCTCTGTCGTCTAACTTGTTCACATAGAAAAGGTTTTAGAAGCCATAAAACCTAATGACTAAACAGTAAAAATGCTCGTTACCTCAGTCAAACTAAGGAACTCGGAAGAAACAGTAAGCCACTGAAATGCTGGCAAAACATTCTGCTTATAACCCGTCCGCTAGCGAGGAAAAAATGTAAGGATCATCCTCTAAGAGGAAGATAAAGTCGAAATCGCGCATAAGAGTAAAGAGCAGCCTACTAGTTCTCATAATCTCTCTGATAGAGCATGGCGCAGGTAATGCAGAATTGCCCCCTAAAGCGATTCATACGATTTTTGCGCTTGAACCACATCTGAAGGACTTGAAGGAAATGTTTGTATCTCTTAACAAAGTCCTGGAGCAATTCAACACGTTTAAGTAACTTTTTAACACTCCAGATACAACAAAATGGACTACTTTCGATCCGTTAATAAGTTCACACAACATGTTGCATTTGAGGTTCATGGGCGCATTAAACGCTCTAAAAATGTAATATCATTTAACTTTCCAGAAAAGTTATCTCTTGAGGCAATTTCTTTTGAAGTGGCCAACGATGGTCATATTGAAAGACCAGTTTTCTTGCGTGACGCTGCGAAAGAGGTCTTCGAAGCAGGTCTGTCCCATACCTTTCAAGCGAAACACTTGCTGAATAATTCATTTGTAGTAGGAGCGTATTATCCCTTAGGAATGATTACATAACGATGGCTCTTGGCGGGGCCTTCAAATTTGGCTGTGCACTAGAATTTCTCTCTTTGGAGTTTATCAACACACACGGTCTCATATCGTACATTTTGCTCTAGCGATTCTTGTTTTAATTCATTACTCGTCCCGTGATGCAAATCTATCACATCCGATATTTTAAACTCGTTACGTTTTCTACGCTCGTAACCCGCGTATTTTGGAACGGTTGTGTTATCAGAAACAAATTGAAACGAATTCATATGAAGTGTAACAATTCTGTTGGGAAACATCTTTCTGGATGGAGAATTGCTCTTCGAAGGAAATTAAATACACTAGCAAACATCGTTTTCCAAAGAGAGTTTTCGAAGCTTGGAATCATTAGGTTACAAAAAACCTAGCTCCATGAAGAAGTGGATTATGCAGTTGTATCCGTTGGAGAATTTATTTGCCATCGGGTTGACCGCCCATGCACGTACCGAAACCGAGGTGGTGGTGTACTTACTTGGTGTATTGGTGTATTGCAATAAAACGTGTTTTTTGCTTCTCACACCTTCTCAATTGTTTTGTCATACAATGTAAGTTGAGGGGTTTGAACGGCTACCGCTCAATATTGTTGGCTAAGATCTACATATCGCCCACCTGTCCCAAACCTGAAGCTGAGAATTTCTATGATAAATTTACTGCAACTCTCATAGAACACATCGATCGTTCCCTGTGAATCTTCGGCGGGGATTTCAATAGATGTGACACTGCTTTTCTCACCGTTCTCGGGTTGCGAAACATCGTCAATCTGCCCACCAAGTCAAACGCAACCTTGGACTTTGTGTTTGTTAATAATGTGAAGTGGTTCTCTGTATGTACTCGGGCCCCCTAGCCAAGAAGGAACAGGATGCACTCAGACGTCTACAGAAAGACGAGAATATTGTAATCCTACCAGCGGATAAAGGGCGCATGACAGTGATAATGGACAAACCGGAGTGTATTAACAAGGCCAAAGAACTGCTATCAGACGAAATTACATATCGCCAGATCGATCAAGATTCAAGTTCGAAAATGGTCAACC